AGTTTTATAAAGTATCAAAATAAATAAATAAATAAAAACCCAAAGCCAACATTAACAATTTGAATAGAAAACGGCTGGATTTAGGGTCTTTATAGGTACTTGAAACAGATTGGTAGACTTGGGTAAACTTCCTATGAGCCAAGTTTGAAAGGTGCTACAAAGACTGTTTCTGACTCTAAATCATGCTAACAAAAGAGATGGCTGTTGTCTAGCGATCTGGAAATCATTCATAACCTCAACATGTTTAAGGGAACAAAAAGAAGGGTGGGGAATGGTGGGCCATGGAATGTGATATGCTTTCATATTTCTTGAAATGCAAGATACTTCGGGTCTATACTGAAGGGGCCACTTTTTATGTGAACACCTTTCCATCCCTACAGAGATTCCGTATGAACTTGTACATTATGCCAACTAATTAGAGCACTTAGATGTTATAGCTATATGTAATTTATAAATAATTAGTATGCAAAGTGCTTTGAAAATAAAAGTGCCAGGCAGGTACTCAGAATTACTATACATTAAAAGCTTTTGGTATGTAATCATATTATTTAATAACTAGCTGTTTAAAAGGCATAGTACTTTACACATGAACAGAATTTCTGATTTTGAATTAGCATGAGAGTAAAATGCTGTTAAAGAATAAATCAGAGATACTGATAGTTTTTTCACAGTAATATATAAATATGTATGGTTTATATTCATCTCCCTCACCCTTTTTTAGACCAGTTCAGCCTTCCCTCAGGTCTCTACATACTTTATGCAATGATTCCTTCCATGTATATAGGATTCTCAGTTAACTTGCCTGCCCTGCCCTCAGTTTCTTCCCTGCACCCATCTGCCTTCTGAAGGTGTTTTGTATGAACCTGTGAGTTTATGGCCACCCTAAAGAGATTCCGGACTGCAAGCCACATGTTCAATGACAATCAATCCTTTTAGGTGCAACAAAGTCATGAGATGTGGTGGGCAGTCACTACTGGGTGCCTTTCCCATGTGAAGTGTTATTAATCCTATTTACTATCCCCACGGTCTACCCATAGGTAAAACCTTGGAAGATGCAAGTAAGTTTTTGATCCTTTTCCACATCCCTTTTGGGCTCCTTTATATCTTCAGGGCTAATTCCCTTACATTGACAATGGCTTTCCAGAATCTCTATCACCCTGGGAAAATCTTTTCCACCTTTGCCCCATGACATCACTGCTCCCACCTGAACTCACCTCTCCAATGTCCTTCATACATTTCCTTTATTGGAAAACCAAACTAACACCTCTATAGAAAGAGTGTTAATGTTTCTTCTTAGGCAATCAACTAATGCTGCCACTGCCCAGGGACCTTCATGTTAACTCCAGATGACATTTTTCTGTGCTCATCTGACTCATTCAACATCACTTTCAGGAAGCCAAGGCTACCTGAAAGCCTTGGCTTCAAATACTTTTTGCAGACTTTCCTATTATTCCACTGGTTGCCATTCTTCGACCCAACCTTTAAATGCTGAGGTTGTCTAGGGCCCACTTCTTTGTTCCTGTTTTTTTTTTTTTTTTTTATGGATTTACACCTTTATAGAAAGGACTAAAAGTTTATCTCTAGCTTAGATCTTTTCCATAACCTCTGACTCACATATCCACTGCCTACAATGTTCAAAATGGAACTTTTGACTCTTGTCATCTTTTCTACCTCCCAACTTATTTTCCCCCTTAAAATTCCCCATTTAAATTATCAGCCCAAGACCCAGGCAGTAATAATCTTTCTGTTACTTCACCTTCCATGTTCATTTCCTGAGGTGTACCAATTCTGTGCCACTTCAATTCTAAAATCTACCTTCTCAAATCTACCTTCTCTTCTCCATCATTAGCTTCCACCTTTCCAGGCCACTTCAACCCTTATTTATGGTTTATCTCTCTGCTTCTTCTCTGGACTCCCTCCCTATAATTCATTCCCCCAAACTGCAATCAAAGTAATCAAGATGTCATTCCCATTATACTTAAAATCCAAACTCCCTACCACCTCAGCTCTTTTTTCCATCAACTCCAAAGGAGAGGCCCTTCCCTCTCTTGTCTACTATGCTGCAAACATCCAAATCTTTCAATATCTTCAATTCCTCAAACCACCAATTTCCTGCTTCAGGACCTTTGCACATGCTATTCTCTCAGAATGCATTTTCTCTTCTCTTTGCACTGCCAGCTCCTCTTCTTATAACCTCAGGAAGATCTTCCCTGATTTCTGTGTGCATAAAGCAGATTCCTTTCTCATGTTTTCTACCCTGATCCTATATTTATTTCACAGAATTACAACTTAAAAAAAAAGTGTTGCCCCTGTTATAACACATGCTCTATGAGAACAGGTATATACCAGGTGCTCAATAAATATAGAAATATCTTTAAAGAATTTGACTGAGTGTAGAAAATGCAGGCTCTATGGCAATATAGCAGGTCAGATTTGAGTGACTGCAGGGCTACATGCCACAACTACCTACATGAAATTTACTTTATGAATGTCCTGTCAGGTGTTGTGCTAGCTACCAAGATCATGTTGATCAGCAAGTTGGTATGGTAGATGGATAACATTAAGTACTAACAACAGCAGGGCCAAGACCAGGAAACACAGGGTGTAATGAAAGCACACAGAAGTACCCAAACTAGGCTAGGGAGTCTGACACATAAGTTTTGACTTAGAGTATGGCAGGAAAAAGACTGCACCAGGAAGGGGGAATAGCATAAATAAAGCCTCCAATGCACAGAACACTAGGGGGTGGGGTGCTTGGGTACAAGGATGAATTAAGAGTCAATTTGTGGTAGGAAATAAGTATGAGAGACAAGTTTGAAGAAGTAGATAGCATGGCTCTTAGATGTGATTCACTAATATTTTAAGTTTTCCAAAAAGTTATTTTCCCCACATGGAAATTTCCTTCTTGACATCACTTTCACTCAAATAGTGCTGCTTCTATGAAATCCTAGACTATACTTAAGATACTTACTTAAGGCCTGAAAAATGTTATCTAGTCATCCCAGTTTTCTCCTCCTACAATATAATCAAACTGTCTTGCCCTTCTTGGGTCACGACTAAATATTTTATTAGTATTCTGAAATCCAAGCAGTAAACTGGTATCTTTTATATAAATGTTACAAAGATGGACCCTGATACTACCTAAACTCTCACGAAAAAACAGAATTCTCACAAGTCTTTCAAATTATTCCCCATCCTTGACCAGTCAACCAATCATAGCAAATGATGCAATTAAAAATGTAGGAATAAGCCAAGTCCCCACCCCAACCTTCTTTTTGTAAACCAACCATTCTACCTGGGTCATGGTCTATTGCATCTACCCTTTCCTCCACCACCCTAAGCACACACACGAGTGTATACTCTCTTTAATTCCCACGATAACATTTCTTGTCTAGGTCCCTTATTTTCTCACAGCATCTTCATTTTCAATGTTGGCTCAATAAAGGGAAAAAAAAGTCATCCTTAAGGACCATTTGGTTGCATGCAACAGAAACCACTCAAACTAGTTCAAATGAAAGAGGGAATTTATTAGAAGAACACAAAGTTTCTTGCGGGGATTCCAACAGCTATAATGGATCAGTAACTAAAACCACACCTTTCAAAGGACAGGGCATGCTGTAATCACAAACTTCTAATTCTGGGTCTGCATGATCACGAAGAGAACACCCTAGAGGACAGTCCTCCTTGTATACTGCGTAAAGAACTACAACGTAGATTCACTTCTGCTTGCTTTTTGATCCTTATAGTCCTTTATGCTGGCCTCAAACTTGTCAAGCACATGTTGGCAGACATTCATGAGCTCAGTCAGGCCTCTCTGAAATGGCTCGACAGCCGGAAGAGCACCTCGAGTCTGAATGCGTAAATTAATTTTGCTCTCTGAAGGATGGGTCGTAGTGTAACCACAAAATTCCACTTCTGGGTTCTTCATGATCATGTAACGCAGAGAATTTCCTAGGGTATGGTCCTCCTCGTGCAATACAAATGTCACACAGTGTCTATCTGTTCCAGCTGCCTGGACCATTTCCAGGGCTGTCTTCCTCTCGCCTTCGGCCATTGAGGTCTTCAATCCAGATATTTTTCTACACACATATATTTTATAAAAATGAGATCATACTGAATATTGTTTTGTAACTACCTTTCTTTCATTTACCATATCACAATTACAACACATTATGACTCTAAGCTACTTCAGTTACATAGAACGATTAGCCTCTCTCACTTTTCCTGCAACCACAAATTCTATCAATAAATAATTTACTGCCTCCAGTTTTTCTCTGCTCCATTTGACCATCCACACTGGCCACAAGGGGAGTCTTCTTAGAATAACACAAACTTAAAATGTTTGCAAAAATATTCTTTTGGTAGAGTCACAAGAAAGAGATAGGATTAAAATAGGGTGGGTCCTCCTGGAGGATGAAAATAAGTTGAAAGGCTTAGAAAAGCAGATTGCTCTAGGACAAAAACAGAGGCTCTAGATTACCAATGTGCAGGCCCAGCGATGGCTTCCATTTGAAACTAGGAGAATGGAAGGTCCAAAAGACTAGCAAGAGGGAGAAGATGGGCTCAGCGAGTGGAGAGGCGGCTGCACGAGCAGTATGTACAGGGAAGGAAAGTGAGTGGTAGTTACAGGGATGAAGACCTCACTGAACACACTAGTACGGGTCACTCCGGAAACTGTGGCGTGATTTCACACACTGCTGTTCTAATGGGGCTGGGCAGTTTGGGGACTTAACTCTGGTCTCTCAACTTGACTTCCCTCCTAGATAGCTCGTGTACCTCTGAGCGCCTCCATCCAAACACAACCATGTCTCCTCCCTCCTTTCCCAACTGGGCCCCCCCCTTCCCTACCTCCTCCCTTCTCTCAGCGCCCCGAGTCAGGCCCTTGCCGCTGGGCCAGGCCGCGGAGGCCCGGCCCGGCGGGGCCGCGTGCCCCTCGGCTACCCGCTCCCCTTGGGCGCGGCCCGCTCCGCCCGCCCGCCCGCCGCCTCCTCGGCCGTTACCTCTCCAGCTCCTGGTCCTCTTCCATCGCGGGGCGGTTTCGGGATCTCAGGAGGTGCTGGCCGGCCCGAGGCTCTGCCCCATCTCGCGAAGCGTGCAGGAGAAGCAGGAAGGAAGGAGCGACCGACGGAAGGAGCGGGGAACGGAAGGGAGGAGGAGGAGCCGCAGCGGCGCGGCGGGCCCGGTCGCCGGGCGGGGCGTGGAGGCTCCGCCCCCGAGGCCCCGCCCCCGGCGCGGGGCGGGCGGCGGCGCGAGGCCCGGCTGCTCACCTGGCGCTCCCCGCGCGAGCCGGCCCGCGGGGTGGGGGTGGGGGCGGGAGGAGGGAGGCAGGGCCGGCGCCCATTTCACCCCCAGGCCTAGACAGGTCTGCAGGCGCCCGAGTTCGGCCTTGGGTACCTTCCCCCAGGTGGTGGCGAAGGGGACGGGGTCTTACCTGCCGCCCCCAATTCACCTTCCTTCTAAGGGCCGAGTCGGGCCTTTCAGGTTTACAGCTAGACTGACGGGAGGACGGCGTCACTCCCAGGGTGGCCCTTCATGGGACGACAGGATTAGGCTATAGTTGGCCAATACACCTTTGAAAAGGAAAAGGGTAATGTGTGAAGAGGTGAATTTCACAACAGAATGCGAAGGCTTAACACGGTTTGTCTCACCGGGGATCTTGCAGCTGCACTTCTCAACTGGGTCAAAGGACAAGAGTTTGTTTTTCTCTTTTGGGGCATGAGTGAGAGTTTGGGAGGAAACTGTCCCCCAGCCCGCCCTTTCTGTCCTGGGATCCTTTCCACCCGGGAGCAGTCCTCCCCTGCTATGCACTTCCTTATCCCTTTACCCTTTTGGATCCTTAAACGTCCTCACCTGCGGAACCTTTCTCTCACCTTTGTTCCCAGGTGCCCCGGCCCCCGCCTGGGCAAGCTTCAACCACGCGGACCCGCTCTCCGCCCTCCTCCCTGTGTGCCGCCCCTCTCTCCGCTCCCCCAGGTGCTCTCGCTCGCCAGGCGCCCCTTCCTTCCTCCGGCCGGCCGGGGTGCCTGCCCTACCCCTGTCCTTTCGCCCAACACACCTACGTCGCTCTTCCCTGCGCCACCTGTTCTCCTTGATCCCCCCGCCCCGCAGTGCCCCTAGACGTGCACTCCCACTCCCGCTGTTCCGCTGTCCCCGCGGTGGCGGGGTGCGCGCAGACACTTCTGGAGCGCGTCTTCTGCAGGGGGATCAGGCGAGCAGCGGGGACAGCCCGGGGCGGGTGGGGGAGGGCGGGCGGCGAGGGGCGGAGCGGGCTCACTCTAACCCGGGAGTGACGGCCCATTCTAGCCCGCCCCCTAAGCTCTCGGATAGGCGGAGCTGCCCTCTGGCCCGCCCCTCTCCCGCCCTGTGCTGCCGCCGATTGGCCCGGCTGCGTGTCGGGTTGGGCCGCTCGGTCCTGGCGCTCGCCCCCGGGAAGGCAGCAGGGGCGGTTGAGAAGTGAAGTCTTGGCCAGAGTTTGCTTCTTGCCAGGAAATCCGCGGCGGCGGCGGAGATTCCCGGCGGAGCGGAGCCCGGCTGGCTCCCGGCTCCCTCAGCGGGCCGCGGAGAGCGGAAGCTGCCGCTGGGCTGCGGCGGCGCCGGGAGTCCGAGCGCGCCCCGGGCAGCCGCGCTTTCCCAGTGAGTAACTTTGCGGTGCCCGCCTCGCCCCGCGCCCTCTCTCCGGCTCCGGGCGGCCGCCTCAGGTGCGGGCGTCGGCGGGGTGTGGGGCGGCGCCGCGCCCCGGGAGCCGGCCAGAGAGGCGCCGCCGTCCTCCGCGGCTCTCCTCGCTCGCCTGGGCTACGGGGCCAGCGCGGACCCGGGTGTGGGGCTGGCCGCGCTCGTCCGGGGAGGAAGACGGCTGCCCTGCGCCCTGTGCCCGCCGCTGGGCAGGCGCAGGGAAGGCGGGCGGCCCCGGCTGGTCGCATTTGGTGGTTCCGGCCACCGTGGTGCAGATCCTGGCGTCGTTTGCTTTTTAAGGGAAGGGAGAGGTGGGGATGAGTTTTTAAATTTTCTGTGTGTGTGTGTGTTGTCGGCAATGAGAGTGGCACCAGCTGCCTCCACGTCGGATTTTGATCCCCTGGAAAGGGAATGGGGAGAGAGCATTCCCTCCGCCCCAGCCTGTTGCCTATCAATTCTCACCTTTCCTTTTAGGCTGGAGAAGGTGAGAGGGGTTTTTATATCTTCCAGGGGGTAATTTCAAAATATGGATCTTGATTTGGACAGCAGTTGCACACAAAGCACCATTCAAGAAATACTTCATTCGCTTTTCAAAGCTTTATGCCACGTTTTAGACAAGGATTTTTGACTTATATATAGTATTTCTTCCAGTATTTCAGTTTACGTTTAAGGTTATGGCTCCAGACGTTCGTATCTGTCAGGAGCTAAAGTAAACTCATGCATGGGCTTCACTGTATAGATTTATCTTCTGAAATCACAGAAATCAGAACTGAAGTTGAGTGAGAAGCAGTGGCGGTGCAGGGGGAGAAAACAGTTGTGAGCTCCGGTTTATTGGACTGCCTTCACTTTACGAATTTCACATTCTTGCAGCAATAGTACTTACTTGGAAATTGGCCTTCTTCCCAGGACAGAATTTGATTTTTCTTTTGCAAGTACTGTGATGCAGCACCGATGAAGTTGGAGCTCAGTGGCTCAATGTTATTTACTTTGATAGATTTGATTACCACCCCCACACTCCTTTGGAAAATGGACTTTGGCAGGTAAAGAAGGAAGTAGCAATCTACTGTCTATCCTTTTTGGCCTGTCAAAGCATTGTTGAGCCATGAATAACAAAGTTTTGCCTTTTTAGCTTGTCCAAGTCCCACATGTGAGTTTTCCCATGGGATAAAATGTAGGCCAGATCAGAAACAAAGTAGAATAACACTAATTTTAATTTGGCCCACTTGTGTGTTAACATTCTTAATTTATATCTCGTTTCTCTCTCATCAACTTTGAAATTTTTCATTATTTATTATTAATTTAGCCACTGGTAAAGCGCCTGCTGCATGCCAGCCATTGATGGCAGGGGTTGGTTCTTGCCCAGAAATTGCTCATAGTCTCTTTTGGAAACTGATCTATACCTCTGTTCCACTAGTTACCAAAAGTAATTTGAACAGAGTGCTGTGGAATTTTAAAAGAGAGCATTTCTGCCTGGAGTTTGTTAGAGAAGGCCTAACATAGGCACTTTTCAAACTGATGTGAGATTTTGCCAGGTGCATTGTAGGCCACTTGCAAATACATGCATATGTGTTTAGGATATTGCTTTATGAGATGTGCATGTAGCCAGTCTGGCTGAAGGACACAGTGTCTGGTATTGAAGTAGTAGTCAGGGGCTGGTATATTACTCATTTCAGAGCACTTAGCACCTTGCCTTGCTTATAAGTGGGCACTCAAATATTTACTGAACTGACTTGAATAAGAAAATGAAGGATTTTGTATACCAAATTAAGAAATTTGGACTTTATCCAGTCAGTGATAAGGAGCTGCTAATTTTAAGCAGGAGAATGTCATGATAACATTTGCATTCCAGAGAGATAATCTGCAGCAGTCTGGAAGATGGTGGGGGTCCAGATGGAAGTTAGAGAGACAAAGTTGGAGGCTCTCACAATGTACAGGTTAAGTGTTCAGGGGTTCTCCATTAAGATTATCTGAGTTGGAATCAGGCTGTGTCACTCCCTGGGTAACCTTTGTTCCTTAGGTTCTTCATCTTATAGAATTTGGGGGATAAAACTTGAAAAAAAGTGTGTATTAGAATAGTGCTTGCTACATTAAGGACTTAGTAAATGCTAGTTTTTATTGTGTATGAAGGCAGTGGAAGGAGAGACGATGAGGCATTTAGGAGGTACGACTAGGAGGCAGGCCTGGGTAAGTGACTAGATAGTATTAATGAAACAAGGAAGATTCCTAGGTTTTTTGAGGCATTGGTGTGTGCTGATTAAGTTTGCTATGGAGTTAGACCAGGAGTTGAATTCTAATTCTATCACTTACCTTTAGAATTGCTATTTCTAGTGAGCTTTGATTTCCTAACATTTAGGAAATGATTGTCCTACCTGTTTAGTTGGGTTTGAGGATCAAGTGAAATTACGCATGTAATGCCCTTGGCAGAGTACGTAGCACATTCCAAGTGCTCAATAAATATTAGTTGTTCCTTTAGATGGTGACATTAATGAGCTAGTGGAATGTTGGAGGATATGAGAAGGAGCAGTTAAAAACAATTGATGGTACAGGTGGGGAAGGGAAGTTCAATTTGGAACCAACTCAATGAGGTGCTAAATGGATGGTTGAGTTATCTGTGATGCAGTTGTAGGATTGATGAGTCCCACAGGAGCTAGGAAAGAATAGAAAAGAGAGAGTGTTCACATAAAGCCTTTGTGGGTACTGTAAGCTTTATGGAAGTTTTGGGGAAACGGGAAGAGGAGGGATTTACAGTGTAGCAATGCCAGAAGCTTGACTTTGAATATTAGGCATCTGTATCTTAAAATGCATTTTGGCCACCATCAAAGAAAGGAGAACTCCAGGCTCATATAATCTGGTTGGCTGTATGCCCTTCTCCCCCTCCTCTTTCTGATGCCGCTCTAAAATCTAAATACTTTTAAATTTTGTTATGCAGAACCATTTAACTTTTCCCCCCTGCTCACAGGGCCACAGTTTACTCCAGGCCCACCTTCCTGTATCCAAATGCAACAAGGTTTTGGAAAAAATCGGAAGTCTCATTTCATAGGTCCCACTCTATTTAGTTCCACTCTATTTAGTAGTGTTGGTTGAAAAGTTACGTGTACACACACACACACACACATATATATGTACTTACATATTTTGCATGTAGAATTGTAGTTGTAGGAGAAGATGGGGACTGGCCTAAATTGACCCTTGGGAGTTTTACAAAACAAATCCCCTTTAGCTTTCCTGTCATGTGTTTCTTTTCCTCAGAAAATACAAAAATAGTAGAAAAATCCGTAGTTATATAAGTTTTTTTGTTTGGTTGGTTTCAGAATAAAGTGGTTATTTTGTGTGTTAGCCTAACAAGAAGTTATTAAGAGGAATTTTTAAAAAAGCAAGTGCTCATGATGTACATTACAGTAATAAA